AGCTAGCAGCTGGAGAGGTGGCACAACAGAACACAACTTCTTGTCTTCTAGATATGAAATAGCAGAATTAAAGAAATACTGCTTCCCATGTTAATGAGGGGGTGAGGGATACAAAGAATGCATTTTTACTATTTTATTTAAATACTGATGTTAAGCCTATATGCCTATAATATATATATGGCTTTATATTACATAATGCTGTTACTCTTTTTAGCTTTTGTGTATTTTATCTGTTTTTCTAGAAAAAAGCATGCAAGACATGGAATAAATAAATATTAACACATCTAAGGAAGAGACATGCAGTCCACAAAAAGCTTATGCCAAATAACCCTTCTTAATCTTTAAACAAGAATGGCCTTTTGTTTTTGCTGCAAGACATTAACAAAAATATCTGTCCTGCATATAATAATGAGGACAATGACTACACATCCAGGCAAGTGCTGACAAATATGATTTGACTTATTAGGCAATCTCTTATTTGACCCTATTACCTTCTTCCAAGCCCTCTTCTTCTGACATTTTCTGGGAGCACACTGTTGCCTGTTTCTTGCCAGGTAGTTTGGAGAAAGGACTTCTCTAAAGTGCAATGCAACAAGAGTAATATAGGAGGTCCAAAACACATTGCTGAAATAATCCCGTTTGAGACTGCTTTAACTGCCCTGGCTCAGTGCTAGGGAATCCTGGGAATTGTAGTTTATTGTGGCACCAGAGTCCTCTGACAGAGAAAGCTCAATGTCCCACAAAACTACAATTCCCAAGATACCCTCGCACTGATCCAGGGAAGTTAAAGCAGTCTCAAACTGGATTATTTTAGCAATGTGTTTTGGACACATTGCTGCTGGGCCAAATCTATAAATGCCAAGAAACAAGCTGGAAACATACAGCTTACAGGTTATCCTTCCACCATCACCATTTTGTCAGAATCAGAGGAATTTCCTATTGCTTTTGTTTGCTTTTAAAGTCTCCACAATTTCTTTTTACAAAAATCTCATACACCATAAAACAGAAGGCACAGATATGCCTTAAAATTTGCTTTTACTGCCTGATTTTATTAGCCTATGTATCAAAATATTTAAAGATTTGGCTCTGGACAGTTCTCACACCCCAAAATGGAATGCATCTGTTCAAAATAAAATGGACAATGCAAAAAAAGATAATACCAGTAGGTGTTAATTAGACAAGAGAAGAAATCTGGAAATCAAAGTTACAAGTTTGAGTTACCTGTGCCAAATATCAGCAGTGATTCCCATGTCATGTGGAATAATTTCAGTGTTGGTCTGTAACACTCAAGAGTTTTCACTGCCAAAGTTTAAAGAAAGTATGCAGAAGAAGCATTTACCTGAAGGTGACCTCTGGTACCAAACACTTGACTCCATTATGAAAAGGCCGTGTTAAGGAGATGGTCTGGCTGACCTGATCCACAGCAGACACTTTTCCCTGATATACTCCCAGGCTCTCTCCGCAGTTGATCGAGACAATGCTTCCAAGCCAATCTGTAGCCATAGTTTCTTTGATCACTGCAAAATGAAGATGGTATAAATGGAATAAAAGACTGAAAATGTTCATGCATCATGACAATTCTCCCCATAACAGTATAGTCTATATTTTGCAACCCATTGTTATAATACATTGCAATTGGACAGGTGACAACTTGCAAATTGTTTTGTTGCTGTTGTTGGTGTGTGCCTTCAAGTTATTTCTGACTTATGGCGACCTTAAGGCAAACCTATTGTGTGGCTTTCTTGTTGGAAATTTGTTCAAAGGAGGATTGCCGTTGTCTTCCTCTGAGAGTGTGTGACTTGCCCATGGTCACACAGTGAGTTTCATGGCCGAACCCTGGTCTCCAGAGTTGTAGTCCTAAACTCCAACCACTATGCCACAGTATGACTAAAATAATACTAATATAGCTGCATTATATGGGAAACAACACCACTCAATTTTTTTGTGGGGCTTATTGGAACTTAGGGGGTTTGCAGACTGCCAGAAATAGTGCAAATTGAGTCCACTTTTAGGGTTAGGGTTAGTGCTAGGGAATCACGGGAACTGTTATTTTCCTGAGACATTGAGCCTTCTCTGTCAGACAACTCTGGTGCCAAAATAAAATACAGTTCCCATGGTTCCCTAACTCTAACCCTAACCCTAAAAGTGGACTGAATTCACACTATTTCTGGCAGTCTGCAACCCCCCTTAGTGGGCAGTGACTCAGGTTTAAACTTGGTTTAAACCAGCCAACCCTGAAGATGATTATGGATGATGATGATGATAATAATATATGAAATAGCTACATTATACAGGAAATGACACCACTCATGTTTTTTGTGGGGTCTGTAGGATCTTAGTGGGCAGTGACCCAGGTTTAAATGTGGTTTGAACCAGCCAACTCTGATCACCATCATCAGTGACTCTGCTTTAAACTAGCCAACACTGGTTATTATTATTAATATTATTAATTAGTATTAATATATTATCAATAACAAGAATAGAGCTGCAGAGACCCTGGTTTAAACGAGCCAGTCCTGCTAATGATTATGTTAATAATAAATAATAATAATGCATTATACAGGAAATGACACCACTCATATTTTTCATGGGGTTTATAGGATCTCAGTGGGTAGTGACCAAGGTTTAAACGTGGTTTAAAGCAGCTAACCCTGATTAATAATAATATTAATCATCATCATCAGTGACTCTGCTTTAAACCAGCCAACCTTGATGATGATGATGATTAATAACAATAATATATTAACAATAACAACAGAGCTGCAGTGACCCTGGTTTAAACGAGCCAGTCCTGATGATTATTATGATTAATAATAATAATGATAACAGAGCTGCATTGCAAAGAGAGCCACTCCACAAGGGGCTTTTTTCATGGGGGTATGGAGGCTCTCCGCAGGCAGCGAGGGCCCCATCTCTGGCTGCATCTGGCTGTTATTCCCACCACTGTCCTCCATGTGGGCAGAGAAAGGGCCTTTGTAGACTGCCAGAAATAGTGCAAATTGAGTCCACTTTAACTGCCCTGACTCAGTGCTAGGGAATCATGGGAACCATAGTTTATTGTGGCACCAGAGCTCTCTGACAGAGAAGGCTCAATGTCTCAGAAAAAAAAAAATACAGTTCCCATGATTCCCTAGCACTGAGCCAGGGCAGTTAAAGTGGACTCAATTTGCACTATATTTCTGGCAGTCTGCAAAGGCCCACAGTCAGGGAAAAATACATCCTCCATCCGCACGGCCGAAAACAATCCGGTTTGACACCGCTTTAACTGCCGTGGCCCAATGCTGGGGAATTCTGGGAAGTGTAGTTCGTTGTGGCACCAGAGTGGAGCTTCCCAGAATTCCATAGCACTTCCCAGAACTCCCTAGCCCTGAGCCAGGGCAGTCAAAAGTGGTGTAAAACCGGGTTGGAGGCTGTATATTTCTGACTTTTTCTCTGCCCACACGGAGGACGGTGGTGGGAATAACTCTGAGTAAGGGCCCCCAAACAAAGGCCTGGTCCAGAGGGGGCCCTCCTTCCTTTCGAGGGGCCTCGGAGAGGAAGGGAAGGGAAGGGACCGGGGCTCCTCTCCGGCCTCCGCCGCCCTTTCCCCGCTTGGGTCGGGGAGGAAGAGGCGACGAAGAGGCCTCTGGGTTGTTCGGACACTCACTCGCTCGCTACGCTCTCCGTTTTCTCTCACAGCTTCTTCCCACCGGAAACGCGGTCGCGGGAGAGTGACATCACTTCCGCCTCCGTCACGCCCAGCCTTAGAAGCACTCTAGGCGGAGGAAGAGAGACAAATGGAGAGGGAGGAAAGGCGCGCATGCGCAGAAAGGAGCCGCGTGCCTTTACCACCCAGGAGGGAAGGTACGCATGCGCAGACAAGAGTCTCATGCCTTTTCCTCAGAAATTTTGGGGATTTATTTTGGAATGTCCTACCTTTGCCTTGGGAGTTTATCACACGGGGGAAATCCATATGTTGTATATGTATATGTCTGTATGTATTTGTTGTATAGTTGTGTAATTGGTAAAATCCCAGTATCTCATTTAGAAAGGCAAATGTATGTGTAGAGAGAACTAAATATTCAATGCTGTTGTTGTTGTGTGCCTTCAAGTCATTTCCGACTTATGGCGACCCTAAGATATGCAGATGACCCCATAGTACTAGCAGAAAACCTCACAGACCTGGAAGACCTTCTAAGGAAGATCCAAGATGAAAGTGCAAAGGCAGGCTTAATGCTGGATATCAAGAAAACAAAAATAATGACCTGCACAAGTTTAACCTTCCTAAACAATGAAGAAATAGAAATAGTCAAAGAATTCCCATACCTGGGATCAAACCTTGATAGAAATGGGGACTGCAGTCAGGAAATCTGAAGAAGACTAAGAATGGGGAGGGTGTGTATCAAAGAACTAGAAAAGATCCTGAAATGCAAAGATATACAACTCAATACAAAAGTTAGAATCATCCAAGCCATTGCATTCCCTATTAGCATGGATGGATGTGAGACTTGGACAGTTAAGAAAGAGGATAGGAAGAAAACCAATGCATTTGAGAGACTGTGGGGCTGGAGAAGAGTGCTGAGGATCCCATGGAGAGCCAAAAGGACAAACAAAGGGGTCCTAGAGCAGATCAAGCCAGAAACCTCCCTCGAAGAAGCCAAGATGACTAAAGTGAGACTGTCGTACTTTGGACACATCATGAGAAGAGAGGATTCTTTGGAAAAAACAATAATGCTAAGAAAGGTGGAGGGAAGGAGGAAGAGAGGAAGGCCACATGTTAGATGGAGGGACTCTATGAAGGAGGTCACTATTGGTATTAAGGGGTTGCAGGATTTAAGCAGAGCAGGGGAGGAAAGAGGGTCTTCTTGGAGAGATCTCATCCATGGGTCAAGATCGACTCAAGGGTAGTTAACAACAAAAGATAAATTTATCACTGGGTTTTCTTGGCAAGAGTTGTTCAGACTTCCCCTGAGGCTGAGAGAGTGTGACTTGCCCAAGTCAAGGTCACCCAGTGAGTTTTATGGCTGAGCTGGGAATCGAATCCCAGTCTCCAGAGCCATAGTCCAACACTCAAACCACTACGCCACGCTGGTGCTACATGACTTTAAAACTACTGTTTTCTAGTTGCTTTTCATCCTTTTAAAATAATCTCAGTAGGATCAGACTGTAAATCCTCAATCTCGTATAGAAAGTCATTTTTATTAATATATCATCAATACACATAGCACTTTACATATCATCCCTGCCCCATAGAACTTCCAATCTTGAGGTTGAGTCCAAATAGCAAAGGCACATCAAAGAAATTAAGCCAAAAATCTCTGCAACAAAAGTAACACTTGGAGGAAGGATTTGGAAGGGAGAGAGGTGGCATTGTCTAAACTATGATCGGGAATCTGAAATACTACACATATTGTTGGACTCGACAACCAGGTGACTAGAAGTCATAACCAGAAAGGAGGACAAGGCCCCACACCATGTAGGTCCTTCAAGAAAAATGTAGGACATTACCAAATAAAAGCTAAAAACACTAATATAAATGTAAATTCGTGCGGCAGCGGCGGCATGCTCAAAATGGAGGGCATTTTGAAATTCCTCCTGGGCAGAAGGCTGAAATGTAGGGCATGTCCTGGAAAAAAGAGGACATCTGTTCATCCTCTAGACAACAGGTCCCATCATCCCTGAGAGATAGGGTTGGTGGGAATTGGAGTCCATCACCTGAAAGGCCATCATTTCTGCATCCCGAGAATGAGCCTGAGAAAAGGGCTGTTAAAAGAAGCTAGGCAGATCCTCAAATATGTACTTTGTGCGTTTATTATACTGAATACTTTTGAAATGCTTTTTTACAAGGAACTGGTCCATCCTTAATTTACAAGCACAGGCAATTCATGCAATGCAGCTTCCGTTCAGCAAATACAATCCAGGCCTCCATAGAAAGTTGCCTTGTATTGTATTGTACTTAGCTTAATATTGTCAACTCTGACTGGCAGTGACTGTCCAGGGTTCAGGCAGGCTTCTTTTCTCAGCCTACCTGAAGATCTCTGCTATTCCCTGAGAATGGTCCAGAACACACTGCAGAAATAATCCACTTTGAGACCACTTTCATTGCCCTTGTTCAGTGCTAAGGAATGCTGGGAATTGTCGTTTATTGTGACCCCAGAGCGCTCTGACAGAGAAGGCTTAATGTCTTACAAAACTATAGTGATGCTGTGAGACATTTAGCCTTCTCTGTCAAAGCGCTCTGGGGGTCACAATATATGACAATTCCCAGAATTCCCTAGCATTGAGCCAGGGCAGTGAAAGTGGTCGCAAACTGGATTGTTTCTGCAGTGTACTTTGAACCATTGTCCCATTCAATAAATGGTAACCAGACCTGATTTTGCTTTGCTTCCAAGATCAGAGGAGGTTCAGGTGTGATCCAGGTGAGATGATGAAGATGCCTCAATGGAATGCCCCTATGCAGTGTTCCAACCATGCTTTCTTTCAGGATACTCATATTTCCAAATTCCCTCCCCAGATTTCCAGATGTTCAGTAGTCTGGATCTACTATATTCATATGGTCTCAATTCTTTATATGGCTATAACTTATAAGCACAGAAATCTTGTAGCACTTTGAGACTAACTGAAAGAAAGAAGATGGTAGCATGAGCTTTCACAGACTTGAGCCTATTTCTTGTTCTCAAAGAAGTTACATTCATTGTGTGGAGGGCTGGTTCCTTACTTGTCCTACTAGACTGGAGATTTCTCTTTTGATCTTGTTTACTGAAAGCTCTTGTCTACAAAAGCTCATGCTATCTACGTCTTCTTTTCAGTTAGTCTCAAAGGTGCTACAAGATCCCTTTGCAGACTGATTTTCCAGACCAACACAGGTATGTCTTTGAATTATAAGTACAGAGTTAGAAAGCATGAACCCCGGTGGCCTTTCCAACAGGTGAGTGCAAGGAGCACATACTTCCAAGACACGAGGTCCAATTTCTATTCCCAACATCCTCCATAAGACCCCATCCTAAAACAGGAGTTAGAAATCACACACACCTCCAGATGTTGGTGGACTGCACCTCCCATCATTCCTCACAATTGACCAGGGCTACACAGGTCTCATCTTTGTTCTATGAAAGCATCTCTCAACCTTGTCGCCTCTAGATTAGTGGTTCCTAAACTCTGATCCTCCAGGTTTTAGACTTCAGTTTCCAGAAACCTCCGATGTCTTGGTCAATGGTCTGAGATTCTGAAAACTGAAGTCCAAATCACTTGGAAGGCCAGAGTTTGGGAATCACTGAGACAGAGAGAGACAGGGAATATTCATGCTGCTCATTTCAGATTCCTTGGGATAGAAATGAGGTTTGATCTGGAAGTCCTCACACTTCTTGCATTTCATAAGTCCATACTGAGAGGGGTGATATCTGGAAGGCACCAAGCTAGGTTAAAGCTTCAACAAGGCACTTTAGGCAGTCACATTTGATATCAAAAAGTCTTAAAGCGAAACCTGTACACCAAAGTTGATAGACTCAACCCTTGTCTTTATCCAGTACTAGACAAGCTTGAGGATAGCGAGGTCCGAATGCACAACCAAAACCACGCAGAGACAAGTTTTTTCCAAGTGCATCAGCCTAAACCAACCTTTCCTTCCTGCCACTTAAAGCAAAGTGACTTTGTGTGCAGCTACAAATACTATCGCCATCTGGCAGGCAGAGCTCCACACCTTTTTATAACAGCAAGCCATGTGTTATTTTGTTAAGTCTTTTGAATTGAATGCCTCAACACAGCAGCTCATCTTGGGTGACCAGTTCACTCCAAGGCAAATGATGACTTTTGCAATAGCGGATACCTCCCCACCCCAGTGGTCCAATGTCAGTTGCTGCTTATTCCAGATTTCTCAGGTTAGAAACGGGGTTTGATCTGAAAGTCCTCACACCTCTTGCATTTCATGGTGAGTCCATACTGAGGGGTGATATCCACTTTCTCGCTGCTGCACAAACTGAACTCCAGCTTCTGGACCAAGATGGTTAAGAAAAGGAACAGTTCCCATTTACCAATGTTATCTCCAATGCACTTCCTTTTACCCAAGCCAAAGGTAAGGATCTTTTCACTCTCGGCTCTGTTTATTCCTGTCCCATCAGCAGCCAGAAAACGCTCTGGGTTGAAAGCAGAAGGATCTTTCCAAAGTTTCCTGAAAAGAGGATGCACATTCTAGATTACAATTTTACATAAGCCTGCATAAGGATTCTGAGAAAGCACATGGTCTAGATCAGGGGTCCTCAAACTACGGCCCGTGGGCCACATGTGGCCCGCCAAGGACATTTATCCGGCCTGTCAGGTATTTTTGCCACCGCTGCCTGTCCTGCTTAGCAGCCAACTTGTCCCAGGCCCGCAGTGCACATGTCTGGCCCTCCAATGGTCTGAGAGACAGTGAACTGGCCCTCTATTTAAAAAGTTTGAGGACCCCTGGTCTAGATGAACATATTATGTGCCTTCCAGTCATTTCCCACTTATAGCTATCCTATCCCAGGGCTGTCTTGGCAGGATTTGTTCAGATGAGACTTGCCATAGTGTTCCTTTAGGGCTGAGAGAGTGTGACTTGCTCCAGGCTACCCAATCAGTTTCCATAAGCAAGTAGAGATTTGAACCCTGGTCTCCCTGAGTCCTAGTCCAACACTCAAATCATGCACTGAGGCAACAGTGAGGCAGAGAGGATTATGCTTCATACTGTAAGTGCAGCATGTTCAGATGGCTTCTTTTAAAAGTAATTACTTTAGCTTCTTTTGAGAAATGGGAAAATAATAAGTTATTTTTAAAACTCTACCAGTGACTGGTTAGAGGCTGGATGGCCATCTGTCGGGGATGCTTTGATTTTGAGTTCCTGCATGGCTCTTCCAACTGATTCTATGTTTCTATGTTTCTATGGTTGGGCAGCCTTGGAACTAAAACTTATTACATGTTCCTATTATTCTGTCTTTAAATGTTTTGACACTAGATTGCTTAATTGTTTTTTTTTAAATCACACACATGTATGTTTTTAATCTGTCCTGTTTTTAATAATTTGTAAGTCTGATCTTGGAAGCCAAGCAGGGTCAACCCTGGTTAGTAGCTGGATGGGAGACCACCAATGAATCCCAGGTGCTGTAGGCTATATTTCAGAGGAAGGAATTGGCAGAACCATCTCTAATGATTCCTTGCCTAAAACAAACCCGATGAAATTCATAGGGCTACCATAAGTCAACAAGCAACTTTAAAGCAAGTGTGCGCACACACAAGCCTCCTTAAACTCTATTATTGAGGAGAAGGTTGTTGCTGTTATTCACACTTTTGGAATTTTCCAAACTCTGAGAATGCCAGCACAACTCAAAACCAAGCTCCAGAGATACTTACGGATCATGGTTGACTTGCCACTGGTTGACAAAAACACAAGTCTCTTTAGGGATGTAGAAGCCATTCAGTGCTGTGTCCTTAGTTGTGCTACAAGAGAGAAAAATACACAGTAGTTTTACAAGGAGTATTTGTACAAAAGCTGCAAAGGAACTAGTTCTTATTTTGTAAAGTTAGTATGGTTTGAGCAAGAAAAAGGTCTTTATTATAATCTTTCACATATGCCAGACAGGGGTAGGCAACCTTTCCCCTTTAAGGGCCGAAGGACTTCAGCTCCCAGAAGCCTCAGCCATGTTGGCCAATAGTCCCATGTTGGCCAATAGCTCCTGGGATTCTGGGAGCTGAAGTCCTTCAGCCCTTAAAGGGGAAAGGTTGCCTACTGATCTAAAATATACAGTAAATGTAGAGACAGTAGTTTTCTGGCATCCAGGTAAACAGCGTGTGGTCAAGGCAATGCACTGTGCCAGAAAGTAAAAACAACAAGTGATGTATATGCTTCCCGTATAGATGCAAATGAAAAGTAAATACGCTGCCAATATAAATAGAAGATTAGACATCTCAAATGACATATACAATATAAAAAATATCCAACATTCAAAGCGCATGAAGGAGCAGAAATATATGCACTTCCAGAGGACACATAACTAGCAAACTTCTTGTTGTTTTCACTTTCTGGCACAGTGTATTGCCTTGACCACACACTGTTTACCTGGATGTCAGAAAACTACTG